CAACACTTACCAACACCGGTCAGAGTAACATCTAAACACAAACTCAGCTCACAAAGTGTGTCCTGCCACCTGAGCCCTTTAATAAACTTGTCTAGCTGGAGTGTAACATGTTCTAACAAGAGTCAGGATTACATGTCCCAGTCGCCACTCTGGGATGATGCGACCAACAATAGTAGCGCTGTTTCTCTCACTTACATTAAGAGTTACACAAGTAAGAGTCGTTACTGTCGGTTGAAGACAAGACATTAGATAGCGGCTATCGCTTTCCCTGTGGTGATGTTGTGTGGGTCAACATCGCAGCAACACTGGTGATGTTGACCAAAATATCCCAGCAACACTAGTGATGATGACATAATAACATATTACACAAACACAACATCAGAAAACGACCAGGTACGACACACCAAATGATCTAACATAACGTTACAGCCACAAGCTGGGAGAGTCAGAGGATCGAGCGAGCCGTGGAAGATCTGGTCAGCTGGAGGACTGCTGGTATCCTCATCCCAGATGGTGGGGACCTGACCCCAGAACAAACACACACACCAAGTCTGAAAATCTTGAAGGGGAGACTTTTGCTTAGCTGGGGGCAGGTATAAATATGTTTGGAGTTATAGTGGAGAGACGCCAGCTCAGCCAAGGGATCTTTGTGCGGGATCTTGTAGAACAGAGATAATGGAGGCGGGAATACTCGCTGATTTGTATTTCTCAAGGCTGTGTATTATTAATACATGCACAATGTATGTCTCTAAGAAAGTATGTCTGTCTGTATGTTCGTAGGTAAAGGCCAGACAGTTGGGGTTAGTCTCACTGAACTTTCCAGTAAGACACGTGTAGTGGACAGTAGCCAGTAACACATGTGTAGTGGACAGTAGCCAGTAACACATGTGTAGTGGACAGTGGCCAGTAACACATGTGTAGTGGACAGTAGCCAGTAACACATGTGTAGTGGACAGTAGCCAGTAACACATGTGTAGTGGACAGTAGCCGGTAACACATGTGTAGTGGACAGTGGCCAGTAACACATGTGTAGTGGACAGTAGTTAGTAACACATGTGTAGTGGACAGTAGCCAGTAACACATGTGTAGTGGACAGTAGCCAGTAACACATGTGTAGTGGACAGTAGTCAGTAACACATGTGTAGTGGACAGTAGCCAGTAACACATGTGTAGTGGACAGTAGCCAGTAACACATGTGTAGTGGACAGTGGCCAGTAACACATGTGTAGTACACAGTAGCCAGTAACACATGTGTAGTGGACAGTGACCAGTAACACATGTGTAGTGGACAGTAGCCAGTAACACATGTGTAGTGGACAGTAGCCAGTAACACATGTGTAGTGGACAGTGGCCAGTAACACATGTGTAGTACACAGTAGCCAGTAACACATGTGTAGTGGACAGTGGCCAGTAACACGTGTAGTAGACAGAGCAACATGCAATAACATTGCACTATTGCAAGAACGTAGTTTACAATAAACTTTCGGAAATGCCTTTGTGCGTGGTGCAGCTCTACGAGCACATCCCTAACAACGATGGGGTATATTAGGGAAGTATACTCTACGTCAGACCAATAAGTTCATTTCCTTCACGTATTATATCGTTCCAACAACCTTCAGATATATCAATAATTATTTGTCAAGTTCACATGTTCAAGTTCAAGCATGTACCTCCATCACGACCAACATATACCTCCTTCACCTCCTACACTATACCCTCTCATCAATTAATATACTCCAATCATGTCACCCCTTACTCTTCGCCTTTTTAGAGAATGTAAATTAATCTTTCTCATTTTTTTAATTTCTAATTCCTGGGATTAACTGTAGCCGTTGTCTGTACATTTTATATATAATGTGACCATTGTAGAGTCGGGTGACCAAACCTGAGCTGCATAATCTTAGTGGGGCCTCACATGGGTAAGAAAAAGCTGAATATTAGGTATTATATTACTAACACATTTTGTTATGAATACCAGGATCCTATTTGCTTTATTTCGAACATTACGAATTGATATCAAGGCTTGAGATCCATACCAAGTATGGCACTCAGATCTCTTTTACATTTAGATTTGGCAATTTCAACATTGATTGTCCACCAATTTCAACACTGATTGACTGATTGAAAAAACAATTTCAACATTGATTGATATTTAGCATATTAAATGTTTTCCTTTCCTTAGAAAGGACGTGACAAAAAAATCTAAAAAAAAAATAATGAAAATATACCAAGAAATGTGAAATTATCTTGCACATTTCAATAATAATAATAATAATAACTGACTTTGGCAGTATTCTTCCAATAACTGTTTACCGTGACCGTGTTAAGCCCAGGAGCTACAGTCCTTCACACAAGGGCAAGTGTACCCCAATTCCCTCACTGATCCGCCACCCTCTCATATTCACCACAATCCCGCCAATTTTCCTAACAATGTGTGTGTGCTGGGAACAATAGCTCGGTATCTGGTCAGCCTTCCTCAGTGGCTGTGCTCGGCCCCACACCACCCATCTCCCGGGCGTGGACCAGAAGACCCCCCCCTCACACCACCCATCTCCCGGGCGGGGACCAGAAGACCCCCCCCCACACCACCCATCTCCCGGGCGGGGACCAGAAGACCCCCCCCCACACCACCCATCTCCCGGGCGGGGACCAGAAGACCCCCCCACACCACCCATCTCCCGGGCGGGGACCAGAAGACCCCCCCTCACACCACCCATCTCCCGGGCGGGGACCAGAAGACCCCCCCCACACCACCCATCTCCCGGGCGGGGACCAGAAGACCCCCCCCCCACACCACCCATCTCCCGGGCAGGGACCAGAAGACCCCCCCCCACACCACCCATCTCCCGGGCGGGGACCAGAAGACCCCCCCCCCCCCCACACCACCCATCTCCCGGGCGGGGACCAGAAGACCCCCCCCCCCCCCCCACACCGCCCATCTCCCGGGCGGGGACCAGAAGACCCCCCCCCCAAACCACCCATCTCCCGGGCGGGGACCAGAAGACCCCCCCCCCACACCACCCATCTCCCGGGCGGGGACCAGAAGACCCCCCCCACACCACCCATCTCCTGGGCGGGGACCAGAAGACCCCCCCCACACCACCCATCTCCCGGGCGGGGACCAGAAGACCCCCCCCACACCACCCATCTCACGGGCGGGGACCAGAAGACCCCCCCTCCACACCACCCATCTCCCAGGCGGGGACTAGAAGACCCCCCCCCACACCACCCATCTCCTGGGCGGGGACCGGAAGACCCCCAACACCACCCATCTCCCGGGCGGGGACCAGCAGGTCCCCTTCACTCTTCCATCCCTGACTATTCCAACGAAGCCATCGTTATTGTGACGGTTGCGGCTTACCAGATCTCTCGATTAGTAATTTAGCGATAACGCGAGCTTTCCGTGGTGTTCGAGCGTGCTGCTGCCTGCAGTTACGTCCAGCAATTGGTGCCAGCAGCAACACATATGATCCTTCCACTTGCCAAGGTAACGTCTCTGGTTATCTCCGGGATAACATGCATCGTTCACAGTTGCAATACAAACATGATATCGAGAGCCTAACCCTGCCCTTATGAAACAAGTATTCAGTTTGTTTCGCTGTTAAGTAGAATATCCCAGTTATTTAAAGAGAATAATCCCAGTTATGTCACCAGTAACCATTGTATATTTATACAGAGTAGTAGTAAACCGAGAAATATCTACAATATGCAACACGTTTTCGCTATAACATATTGGCCATCAGCACCAGTGACACTCACCACCAAGTTGGGTATGGGGTTCACTACCACCCGTAGAATAATTATGAATTCACTAATATTGTGTTAATACACTCAAAATTTTAAATGTTTTTAACCATTATTAGCTCGATATATCAGTTTCAAAAATAAATAATTTTTATTTTATCTTTTTTTTTATTTAGAGTTTTTATACAAAATTTTAAAGTATTTTGAGTAATTTTAAAATTTATGGAAAGGTTTTAGTTTTATTTTATAATTTAATAAAATTTCATATTATTTTAGCAATAGGTTAAGCAATGATTGTAATTAAGAAGCAATAAATGCTATTTACATGCTCGTTTTCCCACACTCCCAATGTCGTCTGTAGTCGTGGTTTTCTATACAGATTTTTTGGAAATCTCTAATATTCACAATATGTTTTGAAATTCTTTGTTCCGAGAGAGGTGCAATGCAGACAGATCACCTTTTGTGAATGTTTCCTCGATCACCTTTTGTGGATGATGCAACCCCGAGGACCAGTATGGCGTTTGCTTCGTAGACGAGGCCAGGACAGGTTTTATAGTTTTCACCCACCGAGAATTTCACCTCAATTTATATACAAGAAGTTAAATTGGGGATTAAGAGAGAGAGAGGGAATTATCAGGGGGGAAAGCGCCAAGCCATTACGAGTATATAGCACTGGGAAGAGGGCAGGATAAAGATTTGGGATGTGACGGGGTAGGTTAGAGAGTAATATACTCTCTCTCGCAAGGTTAGAGAGTAATATACTCTCTCTCTCTCTCAAGGTTAGAGAGTAATATACTCTCTCTCTCAAGGTTAGAGAGTAATATACTCTCTCTCTCTCTCAAGGTTAGAGAGTAATATACTCTCTCTCTCAAGGTTAGAGAGTAATATACTCTCTCTCTCAAGGTTAGAGAGTAATATACTCTCTCTCAAGGTTAGAGAGTATATAAAATGATGATTTTCCATTCTTGTAAAGCCATTAGCCCTCATAACGTTTCGGGCAGGTCCTTAATCTAACATAATTTTAAGTAGGTAATTTCCAGCAAAATTGAAAATAAATGTTTACAGGTACATTGTAAGAAAATTTGTCACAATACACAAAGATTAGATTAATACACAATAATGACAATATGCAATAATGACAAAGATTAGTAGGTACATTAGGGTAAAATTTGAGGGTTATCAACTGGTTCATTGTAGCACAATTTGAGGATCATTACAAGGAATAATGCAGTAAAAATGCACTCAATATAACAACCATGATATACGGTGATAGCAATGATGACAGAGGTAACAATTGTACGGCTTGGGTATATATATTGGGGGATTGGGTTGCACTAGATACAGTGCAAGTATAAAGAACTAGGTAGGAAACTATGAAGATGAAACTAGGTACTTTTTGGTTTTATTTTTAAATAAGGCAAAAGTTGGACAACTTTTCAATTCGTTAGGGAGTGAGTTTCATAAACAAGGCCTCTTTATTTATATAGAATGTTTATATAGAATAAGTTTGACTCTGGGGATATCAAAGATATATTTATTTCTGGTGTGGTGATTATGGGTTCAATTACATGTGTCCATGAAAAGTTTTTGAACAGGGTTTGCATTTAAGAACAATGTTTTGTAAATTTAAATGGTACAAGAGAATGTATGGAGTGTATGTTTAGAATGTTTAGGTATTTATACAGGGGTCTAAGTGTTGTCTGAAAACAGAGTTTGTTATTATTCTGAAAGCAAATTTTTTTTGGGTGATGATGGACTTGAGGTAGTTTGCAATGGTTGAACCCCATGTATAGAAACCATATTTAAGATTGGGATAGATTAGTACAAAGTATAGTGAGAGAAGAGCAGAGCTTGGAACATAATATCTGATTTTATAGAGTATACCAATCGTTTTTTAGACACTCTTGGCTATGTGTTGTATGTGGGTGCTGAAGGTAAGTCTTTTGTCTAAGTATAGGCCAAGAAACTTTCCATCAATTTTACTGCTGATGTTAACATTGTCTATCTGAAGCTGAATGGCATTTGTTGATTTACTTCCAAATAAGATGTAATAGGTATTTTTTATGTTTAGTGCGAATTTGTTAGTTGACATCCATAAGTGTACTTTTTTTAAATTCAGTATTTACAACATTATTTAATGTGTGTGTGGGTTGGGGTCTGAGTAGAAGAGGGTAGTATCATCAGCAAACAATATAGGTTTAAAGATATTAGAGACATTAGGCAGATCATTGATGTATATAAGAAATAGGAGAGGTCCCAGGACGCTGCCCTGTGGCACTCCTACGGTTAATGGTAGAGTGGGAGAGGTTACATCATTGATGGCTACATACTGGTGTCTGTCACTAAGATAGGCGCGAATATAGTTCAGGGCAATGCCTCAGATTGCATAAAGCTGTAGTTTAAGCAAGAGTAGTTCTGGTTAACAGTATCAAAAGCCTTTTTCCCGTCAATGAAGAATCCAATCGGAAACTCATTTTTGTCAAGGGCTGAGTCGATTATATCAAGCAGACTAATAATTTCATCATTGGTACTCTTTTCGGGAGCAGAAGCCAAACTGACAGGGACTTTTAATTTTACGAGATAGGAGTAGAGCTGTTTGTAAATAATTTTGTCAAATATTTTTGATAATATAGGTAGATTTCATATTTGGCTTTAATTGTTTATGTCTGCCGGATTGCCTCCTTTATGAACAGGCGTTACTCGTGTTTTTTTAAGGATATCAGGGAAGGTATAAAGTTTTAATTTAATTTATATTAGTCATTTATTAGACTTCATTTATTGAGTGCATTAATATTTTCTTTAGTTCTTATTATTTATAGGATCATAACTAAACTATTTATAGTTAATAATCATTAGATTAAATTTGCCTATGTTTATTATTCAACTTTTTTCTTTGCTTTCATTATTACCTAGGTTGCCTAGCCTCGCCATACTCCCTTACTCCATTGTACTCCTGGCTTTGCCTGTCTCAAAATGCAAATTATTAATTACAATGTACCTGAGAGTACTTGTAAGCAATCTACCTCATTTTTCTTTTTTGCTCATTTCGTGTTTGTCTTGTATAGTCTTGCTTATATATATATATATATATATATATATATATATATATATATATATATATATATATATATATATATATATATATATATATATATATATATATATATATATATATATATATATATATATATATATATATATATATATATATATATATATATATATATATATATATATATATATATATATAATATATTTGACCCGGCCAGGATTCGAACCCATGCCGTCCAGGATCACCCCTAAACGTACACAGTACCGTGACCACCGCACCAATGATCGTCTATAAGGATTGGTCAGTCTTGGCGCTTATTAACTAAGCTCCCTGACTGACCAATCCCCGACGACACTCATGGATCCATTTGGGTACAGTTTTTCATCAAATTCTGGCGCATGCACGGTGTATTACTCAGCCACAGCTCAGAATGGAAGCAAGTCGACGAAGAACTCTGTAGGGTAAGGCAGGTCCTAGTCAACAACGGCTTCTCCAATGGTTTCGTCGAAGACATCATAAGAAGGAAAGTGAAGCGCCATGCAACCTCTGAAGAGACAACTAACACAACACCTATACCCCCTATTAGACTATTTTACAGGAACTTCTTTTCCACAGCTCATAAAACGGAGGAAAGGGTCCTGAAAGATATTGTTAATAGAAACGTTATCCCTACAGACAAAAATCAGAGGATACAACTGACGATTTACTATAAAACCAGAAAAACGGCCAGCCTACTCATGAGAAACTCTCCAGACACAAAGCAGAACGCTTTAAAAGAGACCAACGTCGTCTATGCCTTCAAATGCCCTCTTGGGGACTGTAAGCTCCAAAAAAAACAGTATATAGGCAAGACAACAACATCTCTTTCTAGGCGTTTAACGATGCATAAGCAACAGGGCTCCATTAAGGAACATATAATCTCTTCCCACAACCAAACCATCGCCAGAGAAATCCTAGTAAACAACAGAGAAATCATCGATAGATATAGCGATAGCAGGCGGCTTGACGTCTGCGAGGCACTACACATTAAGAAGTCAACACCAGCAATCAACAGCCAATTAATGCACAACTATATTCTACCCACCTCAAGACTCCGCTCCAATATAGAAGCATCAAGAAATATGGACCAATAGGCTTTCTACAATCACTTCCATCCAATACCCATTGTTTCGTGTTCTGTCTTGTGTTTAGGAATTTAATACCCTATTAATACCACCTCACTCAAATGTAGATATAAACAAATCGAAGATGTGTAAATTCTATTCAGTTGTGTATGTGTAAACTAAAGTCTGAAAATGTAATAAGTTTTATGAAACGTGCTCAAGTGTCGCGTCAGACTAGAAATAAAAATGAATTTTGGAGAATTGATTTTTGAATTACCACCAACAGTGAAAAGAAACGTACGAAAGATCGAGAAAATTCGTGTTAGAATTATTAATCTTACTTTTTCGGTCATATTTAATAATATATATATATATATATATATATATATATATATATATATATATATATATATATATATATATATATATAAATACGATTGACGATACTAACGTATTGTTTAATTAAAATATTTATTTTTCAATTAAAATCCACAACAATTCGAATACTCATTAGTTTTCATCACCAGTTCTAAAATACGGTAAAACTTAATTAAAGTTAACAAATAACTTTTACTGAAAACATGATTGCATTCTTAAGAGACAAAAATGACACTAGTTATTAAATAAAGAAAATACGGAGAGGAAAAAACCTAAAGCCAACTTACCTAATAATCAAACAATAAAAAGATTTTGTAACTTCCAACATTGACAAAAAAGGTCTAAATAAAAAAAAATCAAAATCCTAAAGTTTCAAAGATTCTATGCAAGAACAAATCAATTGTTATCGCATTACCAATGTCACACATCATAAAAACAAAACAAAAATATTATAAAATAATAGACACGTAACTGGTATTGTCAAAATCACAATAAAACAGAAAATTATGAAACCCATCCTATTTTAAAAAAGAGCATCAAAACACAAATCAAGGGAAACTAAACAATTAAAGAATATAATAACGCGTTCATAAAACAGAGGCGGGTCAAACTCTTGGTGACATTTGACATAGTATACAATTGGCCAGATGACGCGTTATTGTTTAACAGAGGCCACAGCTCCCTAATGTATAAAGACTCCATAACCACCCTGTGTACCACCAGTATTACAAAGTGTACCATCGGTATACCCAGTGCACCACTCAGTGTACCACCCAGTGTACCATCAGTGTACCTGTCCACCTGGCAGGTCAGGTAGGAGGCGGGGAATGAAAAAGTACGAGGATTTCCCCAGGTTTCTTCATATCAATTTTGATGACTGACATGAGGTGACAGCACACTGATTACTTCCTGTGTGACGACCTGCGTGACGACCAGCGTGAAGACCAGCGTGTTGACCCGTGTAACAACCCGCGTGACGACAAGTGTAACGACCCGCGAGATGACCAGTGTAACGACCCGCGTGACGACCAGCGTGACGACCAGTGTAACGACCAGTGTGACGACAAGTGTAACGACCCGCGAGATGACCAGTGTAACGACCCGCGTGACGACCAGCGTAACAACCCGCGTGTTGACCCGCGTGTTGACCCGCGTAACAACCCGCGTGTTGACCCGCGTAACAACCAGCGTGACGACCAGCGTGACGACCCGCGTGACGACCAGTGTAACGACCAGCGTGACGACCAGTGTAACGACCAGCGTGACGACCAGCGTGACGACCCGCGTGACGACCAGTGTAACGACCAGCGTGACGACCAGTGTAACGACCAGCGTGACGACCAGTGTAACGACCAGCGTGACGACCAGCGTGACGACCCGCGTGACGACCAGTGTAACGACCAGCGTGACGACCCGCGTGACGACCAGTGTAACGACCAGTGTAACGACCCGCGAGACGACCAGCGTGACGACCAGTGTAACGACCCGCGAGACGACCAGCGTGACGACCAGTGTAACGACCAGCGTGACGACCAGTGTAACGACCAGTGTAACGACCAGTGTAACGACCAGCGTGACGACCAGTGTAACGACCAGTGTAACAACCAGTGTAACGACCAGTGTAACAACCAGCGTGACGACCAGCGTGACGACCAGCGTGACGACCAACATGACGACCAGCGTGACGACCAGCGTGACAACCAGCGTGACGACCAGCATAACGACCAGCATAACGACCAGCGTGACGACCAGCGTGACGACCAACATGACGACCAGCGTGACGACCCGCGTGACAACCAGCGTGACGACCCGCGTGACAACCAGCGTGACGACCAGCATAACGACCAGCATAACGACCAGCGTGACGACCAACATGACGACCAGCGTGTCGACCCGCGTGACAACCAGCGTGACGACCAGCATAACGACCAGCGTGACGACCAGCGTGACGACCAGCATGACGACCAGCGTGTCGACCAGCGTGACGACCAGCGTGACGACCAGCGTGACGACCAGCGTGACGACCAGCGTGACGACCAGCGTGACGACCAGCGTGACGACCCGCGTGACAACCAGCGTGACGACCAGCATAACGACCAGCATAACGACCAGCGTGACGACCAGCGTGACGACCAACATGACGACCAGCGTGTCGACCCGCGTGACAACCAGCGTGACGACCAGCATAACGACCAGCGTGACGACCCGCGTGACAACCAGCGTGACGACCAGCATAACGACCAGCGTAACGACCAGCGTGACGGCCAGCGTGACGACCAGCGTGACGACCAACATGACGACCAGCGTGACGACCCGCGTGACAACCAGCGTGACGACCAGCATAACGACCAGCATAACGACCAGCGTGACGACCAGCGTGACGACCAACATGACGACCAGCGTGTCGACCCGCGTGACAACCAGCGTGACGACCAGCATAACGACCAGCGTGACGACCAGCGTGACGACCAGCATGACGACCAGCGTGACGACCAGCGTGACGACCACTGGCACACTTCATCAACATAGCAACATCACCTCCAACCTGACAGATTTAACTTCTAAATTGTTTAGTGTATAACACAATATTAGTGAAAGGAATTGATAGGGAAGATAAAGACAGACTATTTAACCCAAAAGACACGCACTAGGAGACACAGGTGGAAATTGAGTGCCCAAATGAGCCACAGAGATATTAGAAAGAACTTTTTCAGTGTCAGAGTAGTTAATAAATGGAATGCATTAGGAAGTAATGTGGTGGAGGCTGACTCCATACACAGCTTCAAGTGTAGATATGATAGAGCCCAATAGGCTCAGGAATCTGTACACCTGTTGATTGACGGTTGAGAGGCGGGACCAAACAGCCAGAGCCCAACCCCTCCAAGCACAAATAGGTGAGTACCTGTACACGTCCCAAAACAACGGACAATATTGGACATAACATTGCACCGCTGTAACAACCGTTCATTATACGCCCTGTTACAGCGGCGTCACAGAATCTACACTAAGCCCGTTAGTGACAGATTCAGTTAGAATAGTTAGTGACAGTGACTAGTTAGTTAGCTAGTGACGCGCGGTTAGTGACGACTAACTCGTTAGTCGTCACGTCTAACTCCCAGACTCGTTAGCCCAACAGCAACGTACATATTCAATGCTTTTAAGCATCATACAGGCATTTTGATCTATACCCATATACATCTAGCATACAGATATGATGTAGTGTTAAGATGCAGTATACGCAGGTGCGTAAGCTCACATATTCTCATTAATATACTTATAAATTATTCATTAATTTGCCAAATTACAATATATTGTATTGCCAGCCAAACATCCTAAAAGAACGCCACTGTACTATACAAAATACAAAAATAAAAATAACAGTAGAACAATTAATGATCACTGGATGGTCAGGCCTCAAAGGACAATACATTGAACATAACTTTATCGTTTACAATTGTATTATCCACACACATTTACAATGTTCATCGAACCCATTTTTGTTTGCGTCAGTTGCGTCATCATAACAAGGCCATTGTGCGTCCTGTGTCATGGTGTACCACAACAGAGGTTGGTTTATACATAAAGTATTTTCCCGTTATAATATTTATCTATCTTGTCAAGGCTCACGTTTGAGGCCAATTGGATGGGAAGAAATATAAGAGAACACGATGTTATGTTATGTTATGTTATGTTATGTTATGTTATGATATGTTATGTTATGATATGTTATGTTATGTTATGATATGTTATGTTATGTTATGTTATGTTATGTTATGTTATGATATGATATGTTATGTTATGTTATGTTATGATATGTTATGTTATGTTATGTTATGTTATGTTATGTTATGTTATGATATGTTATGATATGTTATGTTATGTTATGTTATGTTATGTTATGATATGTTATGATATGTTATGTTATGTTATGTTATGTTATGATATGATATGTTATGTTATGTTATGATATGTTATGTTATGTTATGTTATGTTATGATATGTTATGATATGTTATGTTATGTTATGTTATGTTATGTTATGTTATGTTATGTTATGTTATGTTATGTTATGATATGTTATGATATGTTATGTTATGTTATGTTATGTTATGTTTTGTTATGATATGTTATGTTATGATATGTTATGTTATGTTATGTTATGTTATGTTATGATATGTTATGTTATGTTATGTTATGATATGTTATGTTATGTTATGTTATGTTATGTTATGTTATGTTATGATATGTTATGTTATGTTATGTTATGTTATGATATGTTATGTTATGTTATGTTATGATATGTTATGTTATGTTATGTTATGTTATGTTATGTTATGTTATGTTATGTTATGTTATGTTATGTTATGTTATGTTATGTTATGTTATGATATGTTATGTTATGTTATGATATGTTATGTTATGTTATGTTATGTTATGTTATGTTATGATATGTTATGTTATGTTATGTTATGTTATGTTATGTTATGTTATGTTATGTTATGATATGTTATGTTATGTTATGTTATGTTATGTTATGTTATGTTATGTTATGTTATGTTATGTTATGTTATGTTATGTTATGTTATGTTATGTTATGTTATGATATGTTATGTTATGTTATGTTATGTTATGTTATGATATGTTATGTTATGATATGTTATGTTATGTTATGTTATGTTATGATATGTTATGTTATGTTATGTTATGTTATGTTATGTTATGTTATGTTATGTTATGTTATGTTATGTTATGTTATGTTATGTTATGTTATGTTATGTTATGTTATGTTATGTTATGTTATGATATGTTATGTTATGTTATGTTATGTTATGTTATGTTATGTTATGTTATGTTATGTTATGATATGTTATGTTATGTTATGTTATGATATGTTATGTTATGATATGTTATGTTATGTTATGCTATGTTATGTTATGATATGTTATGTTATGTTATGTTATGTTACATTATGTTATGTTATGTTATGTTATGTTACATTATGTTATGTTATGTTATGTTATGTTATGATATGTTATGCAGTAGTAACCAGACGCCGGTAGTAGTAACCGGCGTGACTCGGGTGCCAGAGACCAGGCCTCCACTACACTTGCACGACCTTGGAAACAGTGACCCACTACAACCACACAACGGTGACCCCCAAAACCACACAACAGTGACCCCCAACAACCACACAACATTGACCTACTACAACCACACAACAGTGACCTACTACAACCACACAACAGTGACCCCAACAACCAGACAACAGTGACCCCAACAACCACACAACAATGACCTACTACAACCACACAACAGTGACCCACTACAACCACACAACAGTGACAACTTACAACCACACAACAGTGACCACTTACAACCACACAACAGTGACCACTTACAACCACACAACAGTGACCCCAACAACCACACAACAGTGACCCCAACAACCACAAAACAGTGACCCCCAACAACCACACAACAGTGACCCCAACAACCACACAACAGTGACCCCAACAACCACACAACAGTAACCCACTACAACCACACAACAGTGACCTACTACAACCACACAACAGTTACCCCAACAACCACACAACAGTGACCCCAACAACCACACAACAGTGACCCCAACAACCACACAACAGTGACCCACTACAACCACACAACAGTGACCTACTATAACCACACAACAGTGACCCCAACAACCACACAACAGTGACCCCAACAACCACACAACAGTGACCCCAACAACCACACAACAGTGACCCCAACAACCACACAACAGTGACCCCAACAACCACACAACAGTGACCACCAACAACCACAACAGTGACCCCAACAACCACACAACAGTGACCCACCACACAACAGTGACCACTACAACCACACAACAGTGACCACTTACAACCACACAACAGTGACCTCAACAACCACACAACAGTGACCCCAACAACCACACAACAGTGACCCCCTACTACAACCACACAACAGTGACCCCCAACAACCACACAACAGTGACCCCCAAAACCACACAACAGTGACCCCCAACAACCACACAACAGTGACCCCCAAAACCACACAACAGTGACCCCCAACAACCACACAACAGTGACCCTCAACAAGTACACAACAGTGACCCCAACAACCACACAACAGTGACCCCAACAACCACACAACAGTGACCACCAACAACCACACAACAGTGACCCCAACAACCACACAACAGTGACCCACTACAACCACACAACAGTGACCACTTACAACCACACAACAGTGACCACTTACAACCACACAACAGTGACCTCAACAACCACACAACAGTGACCCCAACAACCACACAACAGTGACCCCCAACAACCACACAACAGTGACCTACTACAACCACACAACAGTGACCCCAACAACCACACAACAGTGACCCCCAACAACCACACAACAGTGACCCCAAAAACCACACAACAGTGACCCCCAACAACCACACAACAGTGACCCCCAACAACCACACAACAGTGACCCCAACAACCACACAACAGTGACCCACTACAACCACACAACAGTGACCCAAACAACCACACAACAGCGACCCCCAACAACCACACAACAGTGACCCCCAACAACCACACAACAGTGACCCCCCACAACCACACAACAGTGATTTCCCACAACCACACAACAGTGACCCACTATAACCACACAACAGTGACCCCAACAATCACACAACAGTGACCCCAACAACCACACAACAGTGACCCCCAACAACCACACAACAGTGACCCCCAACAACCACACAACAGTGACCCCCAACAACCACACAACAGTGACCCCCAACAACCATTCAACAGTGACCAACAAAACCATACAACATTGACTACCACAACCACTACAACACAACATTGACTACCACAACCACACAACACAACATTGACTACCACAACCACCACAACACAACAGTGACCAACAAAACCATACAACATTGACTACCACAACCACTGAACCAACAGAGACCATTAGAAAGAACATTTTACAACACAACAGTGTACCACAGAGTGGTTGACAAATGGAATGCATTAGGAAGTGATGTGGTGGAGGCTGACTACCATACACAGTTTCAAGTGTAGATATGACAGAGCCCGATAGGCTCAGGAATACAACTGTACCACAACCTGTTGATTGACGGTTGAGAGGCGGGACCAAAGACAACAGAGCTCAACCCCCGCATTGAACACAACTAGGTGAGTACAACATTGACTACCACAACCACACAACACAACATTGACTACCACAACCACCACAACACAACCTCGACAACAAAGGCTTCCACCAAACGACAGTTCCATGCTGGGTAATTCAGGTGAGCTTTGTAAGATTAAACTATTTAACTGGTGTTTCCTTTACAGGAGATATTTGCATACTCTGATTGATAGACAAATTGATTCCCACTTCCACACACGAACCTAACAATCCTGTTTCTGCCTACAGCCCGTGTTGTATGGTTTAGATGTGGGGGGGGGCTGGGTGAGGGTGTGGGGG